CGACTCCGACCCTACAGGAAGTTGGAGGCTAAATTCGATTTCGACACCCGACTCCGATCCGACTTCAAAATCCGGCCTCCGACTCTGATCTGATCCGACTCTGAGTTTTTTTCAGTTATTCAATATAATTTGAGAAATTGGGCTATTTGGGCCTTTGCAACCCACACCCACTGCCACCGTTACCCACACCCAAAACCACGATCCATCGGAGTCAGATAATCCGTTGGAATTGGACATTTGTCAAAGTCAGATTTTTTGTAGGATCCGACTCCGACCCTCCTCTGACTCAGAGTCGGATTATTTTGACGGAGTCGGACTCGAAGCGGATTATTTCCTCGGATCAGGGTGGAGTAAGGTCGGATCCGGACTGGATTGTCATCCCTAAGTGTAACATCAACTAAATTTTAAAAATCAACATCAATCATGTTGTAAATATTATTTGACCATATATATACGAGTATAAGATTATTGAGATACATAGATCCACATCATTGCTATGGCAATTGACAAGCAATAAGTATAACATTAACCATAACTACATTTTAACACTTTTCCTCTAATAACTCAACTTCAAAAATAAAGACAAGATTATTTGATGATTTCAGAACTTATTACGGAGTATAAACATATAACACAAATATACATAAGTCATGAATTTAGGAAAGTGAATGACGGAAATGGCAGCGGTGGCCGTAGGGGCAGGAGACGCCGGAGAGGACCATACGGCAGACCTGAGTCTTGTATCGTGGGTGCCGAATCACGGGCCGGAGCTCTGCCACCCCATGGGCAAATTGGCATTGTGGTCCATAAGGGCAAGTACCTGTTTCTTGCCATTTGTTGCATAACTCGGTTTTGTACATGCCTTGGTTGAACACATCCATCTCTACTGCTTTATCTTCTTTTTTCACCCTCAATATCTGTCACAATAAATAATCATTACATATTTACTCATACATTTTTACTAGCATGATTTTTTTCCCTAGGGTTATATTTTGTCTTTGTTAGTTTACACGCACGAAAATAAATGTCTGCACATTACACATAATAACCTTGTAAATTATATACACGTTATTAATCTTATTATAGCTAGGTTGTTGTCATTTGCTTGTAGATATTTGTATTCATTTTGTCACACAAGTTTTAAAATACGTATCAACTAAAAAAATATAAGTAGTAATTTAGTGCGACGTATATATTTTTTATAAAAAATAAAGGCTAGCTAGGAGGTATTTGTATGAGAGTTTAATTAAGTATGAAACTCACTGTTCCATTGGCATGTTGAGATGGATATTGGGACTGATTCACCGGCGTAGGCGAATTCGAATTCGCAAGCTTGAAATAACCCGGTGATCGAACTGATATACTCTTTGGCAATGTAAACCTCTCATCCTCTTCATCCAAATCATCAACCACAGTACTTGTAGGACTATTAGTACTACCACCAAACACGTTATTATTTTGATGATCATCACCAATACTAGCATTACTATTATTATTACTCCAACCACCCGAAGCGGGGTCCACACACGGTTGTCCCGAGATCGACAAGGCACGGTTGAGGCGGCGGGTGAGATCATCATTAGTCAACTTGAGCCACTCATTCTCCTCCTGGAGGGTAGTTGCTTCCCTACTGAGCTCCTTAAGACGGGTGATCGCTAGCCGGTACCTGCTTAGGAGCTCATCATAGAGGTGGTTTTCGAGGATGAGACGGGCACGGTATAGGCTAGCCCCGGATGCTGTTGATCCGTCAGCAGCCGTGGCCGAGGGGGTGGAAGGAGGGGAGGTGGAGGTACTACTAAACAAACAGTAGTTTTTGATATTGTTTGATATAATGTCATCAGAACCATAATAATCATCATTTTTATTACTATTCTTGTAATCCATAGTATTAAAATTTTATGTTAGTAAAAGTAACATACCATAAAAATTATATATAGTATGAAATATATATGCATAAAATTAAAGTTGCTTAACATAGAAGGAGAAAAAGGGGGTGGAGGTGGCTTCAAGGCTTCAATCGTTGGGTCAATCATGAGGTTTATTGGTTAGATTTGGAACACTTTATTATTTATTTAATATTTATTATTATTATTTGTTTGTTTGATTTATTTGGTTGAGTTTTAACTAATTTTGACAAATAATATTTGAAAGGAAAAGGTAGAGAGGCTAACAGAAAATAATCATGGCATAGTAGTATTGCTTGCTTGTTGTTCACAATTTGTAACTAACTAACGTAACATAAACTGTCTTATTCTTGTTGCTGTTGTTGCTATTGTACTGTGTACCTGAAATAGACAATAGTCAGTACAAGTTTTTACGTTCAATTTTTTTTGTTTCATCCCTATGCAAGTGATCTATGTCGCTATATGTCTCTCAAGTTTGGTAGCTAATCTTCTTTGCATCCCAACCACTGTCACTTTTCGAGTTTTCGATCTCCATGAAAATGTTACTCCCTCAATACCATTTTGATCTGATCTTCCTATATCATGATTTCTCACCTATATATAGATTAAAAAAAAAAAAATAGTATCACAATTTTTTTTTTAGGAAAAATAGTATCACATAATTAAACCTTGTTGAATTTGTTTCGATCAATAAATTGAAAAATAAACTACTGAACAATTAAACTGATGTATGTGTACATACTTGATACTTCTTCATTAACAACTTGAAAATAAATACTTCTAACTCCAAGAATACGCTAATTTATATCACTCTTTGAATCCCTTATATTTCGAAATAAAAAGCCTCATATATAATTTTAGGTTATTATAATTGAATTTAGCTAAAATATAAGGAGTAACTCCTTTCATTCCTTAAAGTTTTTCACAGTTTTTAGTTCGAATTGTACATTCCTTATATTTTTCACATACACTTATTTCATATGATCGGATGTCCTAGTACAAAATCCTCTATTTCATTTGATACGGAGTATTCCATTATACAATAATTATGACAACTCACCATTCACTCCATACTCCATAAAATTGACTACAGCAATAGTATGGTTACATACTTAGATTGTTAAGGTGACAAAGGAAGGCACCACGTGGAAAGAGTTTCCCTATTTAAAAGGCATGCAATGTTAATGTGGACTAATTATTTAAAAACAATTTGTTGTACTCGTATTATTGTCGCAAAGAATCACCATTTAATTAAACAACAATTAAATAAATAAAATACAATAGTTTTAATCATAAAAAACAATAGTTTGGTAATTTCATTTTTTTTTTTTTTTTTAAGTATTTCATTAATTTTGCCCATGTTTTTTCCACTGTGGTCCTAATTAATGTGTCAGTCCGATAGTGTTTTAATGTGTATTTGACTATTTGTTGTTTTAGCCGTTACTCCGTTTACCAATTTGTTCAATGCTTATCTAGATGTTAATTGACCTCTCAACGCAATGGTTTGTCTTATCTTAGCGATTCTACTCTAATTTAAATAAAACCAAATTATGCATTATTCAACCATTACATAAATAAATAATTATATACGAGAAAAGAAATACAGTACATAAAAAATCAGAAAATGTTCAATTTCGACTAATATGTAATACGTACTAAAATAAGTAATAAATATTTAAAATAATTGGACATTATGATCGAGAATATAATTTTCTTTTGAGGCTTGAAAAAGAATTTAATTAGACAATGGTAAATGTTTGTGGTATGTCAGAATAACCTCGAGGTAAAAATTATCATCTAGTAGTACTTCAATTAAAATCTATCAGTCAATCCAACAAGTAAACACTAAACAACAAATTTTATATCACACAATACAACATTCTAATCACTGTAATTGACATAGACAGAGGGGGACCTTCCACCGGGGCCATTCGAAGTCAGGTCCCCCGTAAATTATTGTAATTAATTAGTTAATGAACTTAAATAACCTATATTTACTTATAAAATATTGGTGCATAGTGATTAGGTTTGAACAAGTGGTAAAATATTTAAATCCCGACCCCTCTAATATTTTCGGCCAAGATCCGCCACTAGACATAGACATATTACGTAAGTTGAAGGTATCATGGAGAAAAGACATACGAGATTCCTAATAAAGAGTTAATTGAGACTAATCTTATGACTTTACTATTGTACAAACACTCATCAATAGGCATCAATAAAAAGTATTGAAATATGAAATCCAACCAAAATTTGGTGTATTCCTTAGTTTGGTTTACAATTTGATTGATTGAGCTAGACTTCTAATTATATTAAAAAAAATTATGAATGCTCACAAATTAAATCATTGCAACAATAATAGTTAGTTATACATCATGTTAAGAGAAGTGTCATTCAAAAGCTAACAATAGTCATATGTAGATTCAAGCCTAAGCTATATAAGGCTACTATTTCCAATTTTCGATTGAGAACAAACAAATGGTTGGAGTGAGAAAGGGTCAAATCTTAGCTAACTAATTAATTTTATTAAATCTATTAGTATTAACTAGTAATAGCTACCAAAGTCTGATTAATCTTCTTTACTTTTTCCACTTAAATTACCTCTAATTGTTTAATAATTACGGTGGAGAGAAAAGAAAAGTCTTTACTTTACTATATAACTTACTCCGTATGAACTATTTGCTTATTAAATTTTCAGTTCCACACCAGCAACCTTTCTTTCTGAGGTTTTGAAGTTGAATTTTTCAAGCAAATGTAATAATATCTGCTGTTATCCGCAGTCCAATTTTGAAAGTTGATGAGCATCTTCTCCAGTCTCCTTCACACAACATAAAAATGCTTCTAGACTTGAGGCAACTCGATTTAATTTACAAAAATGATACGACTTTATCAATTGTTTTATTATGATAAGTTGATTGACACACTCGTATAAGAATCGAAATAGTTACGAATAACTTAGCATCTAGAGTAAATATGACCCAAACCAAATCGACCAATAGGATCGAGTCCAATTCTACTAGCTACTCATTTGAAGTGTTCATCTTGAACTCGTCTTGCAAGAGTATTAACATTCACATGAGACAATTGGGTGCACAATTAACACAAGTTCTTCACGTAATGTTATTTCTAATAAAGATGGAGAAAATTTACAATTTTTCTTGAATTGGCATGATTATGCTTCTAACCATGTGCAAAATTTTAAAACGCATCTCAAAGGCTCTCGAGTGCAATTACACAAGTGACAAACCTTGAAGATATCATCATAATTCAACTCCTAGACCTAAATGCAAAATTATAAAAAATAAAGAAATAAATAAACACTACAACAACAATAATAATTATACACGTATCTTATCTTACTAGGCAATCTCAGACAACCCTTTGGAAGTACTCAACGATTTGTAAATCTCAAAAACAAGCCTAGCTTCAAAATCATCTTGATTCTTATACTTAATCTTAACATGTTTAGCTTGTGAAATCCTCTTATTCTCAAACTCAATACCTCCATCAATCTGCCCTACTCCGCCGGCTATTTTTAACATCATGTTAACGTACCCATTCTTGAACGTATGCCATAGTTTCTTTGGCGCATGAGTAATTGTCTTCCTCAAACTCTTAAACTTAAGCGTCTTTTTGATCCTCCAAAACCTTCTAAAATTTCGTGTAGCAGAGTCATTTGATCCGCTTTTGATCTTCACCACTTGTATGTTCCTCTTAGTTTCAATAGCTCCATCTAAGAGATTGTACCCATTCTTTTTCCAATAGTTACTCCCATTAAAAGGCCTAGATATTTTTTCCATATTTTTTTTTTGTATGTAGAGAATGTGTAATATGAGGGCAATATATGCAGCTATTTTTTGTGGGTATAAAACTATAAACTATATGATAAATGGGTTGGTTGTTGTTTTATGTAGTGACGCAAGCTCCGCTGAATAAATGTGAACATAAGGAGTTTGGCTTTAATTGGGTCAATATTCAAAAAGTCCGCAAAGGCCGGTTTGAAAACTCGTATATCAATTAGGATTTTGCGTGCCTAACAAATATTTATGCTGCTGAAATTATTATGATTTTGTCAACTTTTTTGTGTATACGTGGTTGTATACAATTTAGTACTATGAATTAAGAAGCTCGTTTAGTAGGACTAATTAGGTCAATAATTACAGTTATCTTGTTGGAATAGCATGTGTTAGTTGTGTTTGAATTATTATAAAACGCTATCTGTTATTTACATTTTTCTAGTGGTTGTTTGATTAGGGTATTGTACCATTATTTACAAATGCTCGGTAGAATATAATTTACGAGAAATGTCTTGGTTTCTTAGTGGACAAAGGATATAAAAGTGGGAGATGTAGAGGATAATTACGAATTAGAATATAAATTAGTATAAATCCTGTGCATGCACGAATAGTAGTAAGATCTTTATTTAACTTATTAATTCAAAGATTATCATAATTAAACTTTAATGAAATTAATTGATGCATAAATATGTCTTGCCTTTTGAATTTATAGTACTAACATTAATTTTATAAGAAATTATTATGTATAATATTTAAAAAAAAAAATGATTTTAGTTTATACATTTTTCTTATTTGTTGATTAGTAGAAATTTTATAAATTATTGATTTATTAAATAATGTTTTTCTAACTTTAGATTTGTTGTAATATACAAAGGAAATTTATTGTTATTAATAGTTATTAAAATATCATGTAAATAATTATCCTTGAAAATGATAATTTAAGTTATGGTAAGATTTAGTAACAACTGTAATAAAAAGAAAAATTTTGGAAGGTAAAATTAGGCGGGAAATTATTTTACCACAAAATGACATGTTTCATTTGAGATTCGCCTTTAGTATAGGTTTATTGATTGATTGACGTCTTTTCTTTGACACATCTGTTTGAGAAAATTTGCTAGGGACCATCTTAGTTTTTTTTTTATTAAAAAAAAATTAAATGATACCTTTAGATGTATTTGGCGAAAAAGAAGATAATAAGCTAATAATCATTTTCCTACAATTCCTTTAGATGTATATTATCGTGTAAAAGTCAACTATAACAATTATATGAGAAAGAAACTTACATTAAGTCGTAGGAGTGTACAACTGTACAATTGAACATGACCATACCATGCAGCTGGAAATTAAATTGAGTAAATGCTAGTTATAATAATCAACAATCAACTTAGAAAGTGTGCAAATTAAGGGTGATTAATTTAAATTTAATAAATAGCAGTATAAAAATCATATTGCTACACTTCCTAGTAAGTTCTCTAACTTTGATTCCAACCTTAAAGTAAACATGTTATTAGCAAAAGCATCTCTTTGCTGAAAATTTCATCAGACCAAATAACGTCAGCATAATCATCAAAAAAAGATTAATTAAATCATAATATTTCGCATAATCAAATTGACTTAGTGAAACTTCTTTGAGACCAGCAATACGTCATCAAATGCTTAAGAAGTTTTAATTAGCATGAGCTATGTTGTATATACTGCTTAAACATTGCTGGTATTACAACAATTGAAGCGATTAACTAATTAGAGAACTCATTGCATTGGGTATAAAAATTCTCTAACATCAGAGAAGTGTCGGCGAAAAATATATTTTAACTTAAAAAAAATAAATTATTTTCGTAGTTTGTAACATGATAACATGGATGATGTGGTGTTTGCTATAACACGTAATACCAAAAAAATCTTTGCAACACTTACTGCATACGTAATATAACATCATCTAAAATATGATTATTGTATAGTTTATAACATGATAACATGGATGGTTATTGCACACGAAGTACTTCGCATATTTTAAGATGAAGAGAAAATGTAAATGGGATGAACATCACTTTGATGCCTTGATGGTGATGACTGATGAATTGGTGATTACACATTACACTAACTAGGCCAATTCTCCTAAAGTGAAAGTCAAATAAAAAACATAAGAAGGTTGGGGCTTGGCCGCTTGGGCTTTGAATATTAGTCTGGATTTGAAACTTTGCAGTGTATGTTGGCCCAAAACTAGGTGTTAATCATGTTATAAATAACGGCTAGAGTGATGAAGCAATGAATGACCACCTTTGGACTTTGGAGCACTAATCAAAAGTGCTTTAAATATTGTCAAACAATTACTTTTTCATCTCCAAATTTTTTTAATACAATAACTTACGATTAAAATAGGTTAATCAATCATACAATTAAATAAATTATGTTCAAACAATTATAATTTATAAAATACTCCGTAGAACAACTATAATTTATAAAATACTTTGTAGAATTAAGCTCAAAACTTATACGAAGTATATATTACATTATTTTAGGGTGTGTTTCATCCACCTAATTTCCCTGCCTAATCTTAATTTGCAATATAATCCCGACTTAATCTTCGTCTTAAAAAAAAAACTTTTTAGAGTGTTTTTCATCCAACTAAATTTCAATTATCTAAATATGAAAGAACTTACTTGAAATTTTATAAACTTATTTAGTTGTAAATTAAATTTAATTAACCCTTAATGCTTTATTTAAACAAAAATATATCAATTTTGAATTCCTTAAATTTTATTTATTTCAATTAAGTGAAAATAAAATAAACAGACGAAACCTTAGTAGAATTACACATTTGTACTAAAATATCCGTGGCGACACAGAGTCCTTTAAAGAGAACCAATGCAGTGAAGCAATGCTAGTAATCTAAACATTTAAACAAGGCCCAAAACCCAGTCTTGTGAGCACCTAGATTACTGGAGTAATAAAAAGTGGATGTTTCTTATTATTTATCAGATCTAAAAATAGCAAAAATCAAACTCTCAATTTCAAAGGCCTTATCCATTCAAATCACAAAGTTACGCTCAACAATCACTGTTCTACACCAATGGCTTTCTCCGACAAAGAAAGAAGCAGCATCGATTTTCTTCACAAAGTTGACCCCGTTGACTCTTTCTGGAATTGGAAACAACATCAACCCAACAAAAACAACAAACTCAGTAAATGGAAATTTGACGAGAAACGTTTCTCTGCTCCCGATCTTTTCGGTACGAATCGCCGGAAAAACGCTGCAACTGATACCTACGTTTTGGGCCCGGGAGCTGGGGCTGGTGTTGGATGTGGTGTTGGGCTGGGTTTTGGGTTGGTAGGTGGAGCTGGGTTTAATACTGGGCTTTTGAATCATCTTCGTCTTGCATTCGGGTTCGGGTTTGGGTGTGGTGTAGGGGTTGGGTTTGGGTATGGGCAAGGGTTCGGTTATGGTTCGAGTTGGAAGTCGATTAAGTCAGATGTACTTGGGTTTGAGGATTAAATGGATCCTCACAACCGGTTGTGCCGTGTAGCATGTACACTTCTATTAATAATACAAGTAACAATTTTTTTTGTTTCCTATTCCAACTCCTTTAGATTTTAGTAGTGCAAACGTTGAAAAATATTACTCCGTCTTGTCTAACTCATGAATATATTGAATAACACTTGAACAAAATCAAGCGTGAAAGTAAGAAATCTCTAGTTAACATTATTTTTCATTTATACTTCTCTTTCAGTGAGCTCACCATCAATACACATCATTAACATGCCCAACCTACCACTAAGTATACCATTTATGCAAATAATTAAAGACTTGTCAACAAATCAACAATTAGTAACACGAAAAATCCGTCCAAAAAAAAAAGAGCACGTAGTATAAGAGCCACAATTGTTTGACATAAAATCATATAGCAGATAGAGTAAAATTAAAGTTAATTTTCTTGAAATTTTGTTTTTATTTCTCTTTTGGGACTAATACCATAACACAATGATGCAATGTTAGGTTTATTGAAAATAGTGGGAAACATTTAACACATGAGCCAACACATGAACGAGCATCATATTAAAAGATTTACCATAACCGATCCCTTGCCCATACCCAAACCCAGCCCCAACACCGCAACCAATCCCAACTCCAAATACCGGGCGAAGGTGATTCCACTGCCCATTAGAATAACCAAACCCATCTATCAACCCAAACCCAAGCCCAACACCACACCCGGCACCGGCCCCAAATCCCGGGCCCAATTTGGACAAATCCATTGTGGCAAATCTCTGGCAGTTGGTGCTTAACCATATTTTAGGATTCTTGTTCTTCTTGGGTTGTTTCCAGTTCCAAGGAGATTCATATTTGTCAAGGAAGTTGATTCTTCCTTTCTTGGAATTCATGGTGATTTGGAATTTGAATATAAAAAGGGGATTAGGGTTAATTGTAATTAGAGTTTTTTGCTTAAGGGTTGCCTTAGTAATGCCTGCTATAGTGCTATGTATAGATCTGAGTAAGTCCATGTTGACCATAAAGTAATACAGTACATTGTTTAATGATTAATAATTATGATTCCACCCTCCTTTTTATTAAATAAATCTTGTATTAGCTTAACACGCTCCTGCCTTTTGGACCTTAAGTTATTTTTTAAACTAAAGCATACCCGTATTAATCTTTTAACAAATAAAGATTGAGGAGATGGTAGAGTTAGGTTTGGACCGTTCACAATAGTCTAAACCTCTAGTTGGCTTTCAGGTCAGAAGTTGGACAAAATCAAGCCAATACTTGTAAAACATAGTACTGGCGGTACTGCAACTTCATCAGTGTATTCATACAAACTTATATGACTTGACGTGTAGAACTTCCAATATAAACACGTTTCAAAAAAAAAAAAAAAAATTCCATATAAACACTAATCAAAGGGAGATTACTTAAACAAGCCTTAAAGAAGATCTCACATGAGCAACACTAATCGATTCCAGGACATATAACGCAGCACTAAATTCAGTCTTTAATCCGACCGGCAAACAAAAACTATCAGCACAACTAGGTGCATTG